GCTGGGCCTACCAATCACTTTTCAGAGAAAAAAAAATCAGTTACTTAGCATCTCCTGGCAATGAAAAGCTTTGGCATTGTAGCCCATAATCCAGGATAAAGTAGAGGTATCTGCTTTTCCAGGCCCCCTGGATTGTTTTAGTGCCCCACCTTTTGGAAAACACTGCTCTAAGTGATGAAATCAGTTTTCTAAAATAATAGAACTAGTAAATAGGTAGAACTTGATTATCTTTCTTGAGATTTATTAATATCTATTTCTTTCTATTAGATGTCCTTGTATCTTCAAATAGGTTACGGTCAGCTCTTTGCTATTCAGGTGGTTTAATATAACTTTGTAATTTTCTGTTCTGGTTTTCGTTTAAGAAGAATCTCTTCCCCTTTCAAGTTCTTGAACAGGATGTTGGTAGGAATGAGAGATGGCTTCGTGGTGGTCCCATGTACGGCCTACAAGGTCAACAACATATAGCATCATTCAGTCCATTTTTCAGGTGAGGAAATTGGACTCCCAATCACAGAGAATGTAAATGGATTGTGTGTTAGTCTGGGTACATTAGAGAAACAGATCCACAGAAACTCATATGTATAAGAGAGAGTTTTATATAAAGGGTAAGTGCACATCGAGAAAACCTCCCAACCCAGTGCTGGCCAAGCCCACAAATCCAACATTAGCCCATATGTTCGACACCAATCCACAAAGTCCTCCTCCATCTCATAAAGCACACACAACGATGTCAACTGCAAGAGGAAAGCCGAGTCAGTGAACGTGTAAGCATCTCAGCGTTGGCAGGGGTCTCCGCACGGCTGCTCGAGCACCCAGGGCTGCATCAGGGTAGGTCCATGTGGCTTTTCCTCAGGGAACTGGCTAAGGCAGCTGCCCCCTGGTCCGACCATCAGAAAGTTAGAGACCTGAGAACTCGAAAGGCGAGGCTCACCAAGCCACTTATCTCCCTGCCCTTCTAATAATCCCACATGTGTTTGTCGGCCAGGTTGGCACAATAAACTTTAATCATCTCAGGTTGAAATGCTTGTACCAAATGTGATTGTATTGGTGTGTTAGTTTTCTATGGCTCACATATTTAGTGGCAGTTCTCGGAAGTCCAGCATGTGTCTGAGTTGAAATCCATGTCAACTAGGGTGCACCCCCTCTGCAGGTCCCAGAGGACAATCCATGTGCTTGCCTTTTTGAGCTTCTAGAAGTTGCTTGTTTGCGAGGTTGACAGCCCCCTTCATCTTCACCACCAGCAATGGCCGGCCTATTTATTATGTCAAATAATCTCTGGTATTGACTCTCCTCCCTGCGATTAAGGGAAGTAAACAGCCCATCCAAGTGCTCAGCAATGACTGGAAGGGTCATTATAAAGGGAGCCCTTTGGTGTTATTCCTGGTAATCTTTCTCTTTCTGTAACTGGGGCTTCTTGTCCTGCACAGGCTGAGCACCCTCCTGGGCATGAGGATCACTCCTTTTTCCATTCTGAATTTTCTAGCCTAATCTCCCAAATGTCTACTCAGCATCAGGTCCAACACTAAGTGCCAAAGATATCATGATAGTCCAACACTTTGTGCCTAATGGGATCAGTCTCTAAATAAAGGGGCAAACAACTAATCATTCAAGGTGAAATTTCTGTACATTTTCTGATCAGGCCCTTTCTGGGCCTGTATTTGCCTACCTTTATGTCTTTGCTTGCACTAACTAAAATACCTGTCTCCCTTTTGCTAACCCTTTTCCCATTCATTCTTAAGACAGCACTTCCTCTGCTAGCTCAATCCTGGTGAGTTGCCATTCCTCTTTGACCCTCACTAGCTAGGAAATCTTTCTCTAGGCTTCTATTCCATGTTTGTTTTATACTTTCATGCATCTGAGACCACTTTTGCTCACACACTCCATAAATACTTACAGGGTCCTGTGTAAACTCAATGCTGGGTCCTGTTCCTGGTCCTCTTGTTCATGGACATCACAGAAAGGGGTATGTTCTGCTTTGACAGTATGAGGCTGCTTGAAAAGTGATAATTCAGCCAAAATCTAAAAACCGAGGCATTAACTAGGTGAAGAAGAAGGACATTCCTGGCAGAAGGCATAATTTGCATACATGCAACAGAGAGCGAGAGCAGGGTATTCCTGAGGAGCTTAAAGGAGGTCAGTGGCTAGAAAGGAGCGAGTCATTGGGTGAGGTGCTGGATGATGTGGAGAGGCAAGCTGGAGCCAGATCCACAGGGTGTGGTGGGAGCTTTGCTCATCCCAGTAACCACCTGTGTGGATGCCCTCATTCACCCTTACCTGCTGTGAAATCCTTTGTGTTTAGTCTACATCCATAAGCTTGTGAGAAATCTTGATTCCCTCTTAAGGTTATATAAGAAATTTTAGCTTTGGTGTCAAACGGCAGGCCAACTTCAATAGGAGTAACAGTACTAGGCAACACTGAAAAACAACTGCATCTGTGAAACACTTCATGATGTGGGTGAACCTGGAGGCTATTTTGCTGCTTGAAATGTCAATCACAATAGGACAAATACTGTATGAGACCATTCATCCAATTAGAAAAAAATCACTAAACGGTTTTCACACAAAAAGAAACCTTCTTTGATGGATCAGGGATCAAAGCAGAAGCGAGGGGAAATGGCTAACTAGAGAACAGACATTAGGATGAGTGAAAGGGAAGCAAAAATAGAAAGAAATGAACGTTGAATTATAAAAAATAAGTGCAATGATTCAATATACTAAACTGAATTTTAAGATATTGAGGTCTTTTGCATAATCAACAAACACATGTGTTTGCGGTCATTTTCTGAAACTTTTACCAATGAAGACGTTTGTGGTGAGAAGAGCATTGGCTGAGAAAGACAAGGTTCTGCTTCTTGGCCTGGTTTTATCAGGGAGCTCTTGCGCCTCACACAACTCTCTCAAAGCATGACTTCAGTGTAAAATACGGGGGAGTCCCCTTTTTTGAAAGCTGTCAAAAGAAAGACAAAAATGTAATCAGAACTCCCCAGAAACTGGCTGCAGAGAGCACGGAATGGGAGCTTGCCACCCCACGCAGCATCGCTTACTAAAGCCAACGTGGCCAACTTCCCCTCGGGTGTTGGAATGGATTGCTGTTGATTCGTAGAAACACCAGATGCAGCGGCTGACTTATATTTAGGGACCATGTGGAAACACAAAATGTACCTTCTCTGTAAACACTGAAATCACGTTTGGTGAGGAGAGATGCCTGTGTCCCAAAAAGCATGTGGTCCCCACTGAGGCAAGGATGCCACACATACTATTTTCCCAGCTGCTCTTTTTCCACCCAGGACGAGAAGGCGATGCCTCCCTCCTCCTCCTTCCTACCTCAAAAGGAGTCTGTGAGAGTGCATATTACAAAAATATTTGCAAATGTCCAATTACGTGAAATCATTTCCAACATCAATTTGCCACATCAACTCCAAGTTTTCTGTGGTCAGCATTTACAATGCTATAGGATCCTTATAGAGAAGGAATCGAATTCCCAAGGTGAAAGTGCTCTTAGAAGAACCCAGTCCTATTCTGTACCCCAAATCAAACCTCATGCACCACAAAGGGGAGAATAGCTGAGAGACAAGCAGCCATCCCACACTGCCCTTAAAAAAAAGTTCATTCAAGGGCTTGTTACGGGCCTCCTCCAAACCTTCTCTTTTTTGGCAAATCTTTTATAGCCACTCAAGTGGTTTCCACGGAACAGCAGTGACTTCCTGTGTCCTCAGAGGTCATGAGGACCAAAGTCCTCCTTCTCCATTCCAGGCACCAGCCTCCGCTTCCTAATTTATCAGTGACCGCCTTTGAGCACGGGCTTATAGGGAGAGGCCGAGCTACTTACTCAGCAGGTGCCTTTTGTGGAAAACCTGATTTCAACCCTAGACTAGTAGCTACAAAGGCAGAGTAAATCTACAGTGTGAAGGGCTACAAGTTGGGGATCTCATTTTTTAAAGGAACATTTCCAAATGTCAATTTTACTGATACAGAATGGAAACAATGAATCATTACAAAGGAAGAAAAAACATCCCACCACCTTATTTCAACAGTCCACTTCAAAAAGTACCCGTCCTTTAAACATTTGAAATTGCTCTAAATCAGTGGTTCTCAACCTTCCTAATGCCGCGACCCTTTAATACAGTTCCTCATGTTGTGGTGACCGCCAACCATAAAATTATTATCGTTGCTACTTCATCACCCTAATTTTGCTACTGTTATGAATCGGGCAACGCCTGTCAAAGGGTCGTTCCACCCCCGGAGGGGTCGCGACCACAGGTTGAGAACCGCTGCTCTCAGGCTTGTGTTTGAGAACCTGCACACCAACCCTGCCATTTATGTCTCAAGGACTGAGACTGAGCAGAAGACTCAAGATACTGGGATTTGTTTGTTTTCTAATGTCTAGGCATAATTAAAACTAGGTGGGCTGTTTCTCAAAAAGTACCATCACCCATTAATGCTCACAGAAGTAAACGGAAGAGGAAGCGAAGATCATCTTGCGAATAGTCCCAACAGCTTCTCAACCGCCGGGGTCCTCTACGTTTTCCTCCCACCATGGTGCGTGGTGGAGCAACTCGACCGGTGATGCAACTCGACCAGCGATGCATCCTGATAGGCTCACTGGGCTATCACAGGACTAAGCTACTGGTTGGAAAACATACCGTGAACCTGCTCAGGTTTTTGTGATTTTACCCCCACCCCACCCCCACACCCAGAGTTGACAAGTTTAAATAGGCAGTGTAGGGAAATTACTCATGGCTGTGAAGAAAGATGGGTGAAACCAGCCAGGTGGGCTTGTAATGAGGACTTCTCCGTGTGAGCATATGGACAAAGAACTTTGAGATGTAGGCCTTGTGGCAAACAACTGATGGAGTCACGTTTGCAAGGAGACTTATAGGTATACCAGATCATGGAGCTTATGGCCAATGAATAGTGCATTCACGAAGGCGCATTCAGCCCACTGATAATGGATCAACATAAACACTCCAACTAGGAAAAAAAAATACACTGGCACCACATTAGGCAGAAATATAGCTTTATTATTAGAATATTTCATCATCTAAAAACTTTTTTAAATTCTGGGAACAGAATGTCCAACTCTTGTACAATCAACTGGCCCTGCAGATGACTGGCAAACAGAATCTAAGCAATTTGAATGCTGCTGTTAAGAATCTGTAACCTAGTTCCGGGGGAGGAAGTCAAAGAAAGTTCAAACAAAGATTGCTTCCCTTTAAAACAAATAATAAAATTACATCTATTTCTCAGTGTAATTTTGAACATGCTTTCCATCCCAGGAACTTTGGCGATTTTCTTTAAAAAAAAAAGGAACTTCTGTAAAGTCTACCACATGTGTGGACCAAGAAAAACTTCTGTAATAAGACACACAGTAGGACATGGGACTTGGCTAGGGACATAGTGTGTCCCTGGAATATTCCTTAGAGTGAGCCAGCTCCTATCTTTCAGTAATCAATCTATGCTTCAAAGGAAGCAAACGTACATGACACATTGCTTCTTAGGTGGCTCAGAATTTACTTGGAATGTTCATTTTAAAAATAGCATATGTAATTCTCAAAGTTGTTTGTCTTATATAATGTGTAGAAATTAGACATGGCATCATGGAGCTTTCTGAAGACCACTGGGGACCACCGTGGAAGAGGGCTATCTGGCCCTCTAGGCATATTATTTTAGAACTGACGATGAAAGTTAGATTAAATAAAGCCAATGAACAAAACAATCTGGTGACCGTCTTCAAAACCAAGTTGACATCATACCCACGTTACAGGACAAACAGCATGCAGGACAACCAATAAGATGGTCTCTGGTTGTGTCGTGTTTTTTCATATGCAAAAGGCTAAAGTGCAATCCTGGTATAAACATCCATGTAATAAATAATCTCTGAAGTCGATAACTTTCCAAATAAATAATTTCAACATTACAATTTTTAATAATATTAGCCTAAACAGTGATATTCACAGCAATGTCTTTTCTCCCACTCGATAGTGACCCACACAGCACACGATGGGTCCACCCCAAAAGTCAAAGTGAAGATTCAAAATCAGTATTCTCACTATGAGTGGTTCAAAATGTTTATATAAATTATATCTTTGAATTTACTGACATCTTAATTGTTCTATTACCTATTTTTAACATACTGCTAATCTGATGCTTATTGCAATAATATAATTCTACTAATGCTAATTAGATTACACTCTTAATTTTTAACATAAGAGAATTTTCTGTTTACATGAACTAACAGATGGAGTTTAAACCCACCCACCACAAACACACACCTTTTTCATGAGCATTTAAAAATAAATCATTAATATACTTGACATATATATTTTACGTGTGTTATATACATGTATGCATGTATGTGCAAGGGGGAGTGTTCAAAAAGTCTATGGAAGAATTCCATTATCTTTTCATTCAATTTCTCCACTCACTTTTCTAAAGAAAAATAATAGAATTCCTCCACAATTTTTTTGAAGCCCCCCTCCTATATATTTGTGGACAAAATTGATTTATTTCAAGAAAAATGTCATCTCTTCAAAACCCTGCATGAGACCTGAAGCCAATTGAGAAAAAAGAAAAGCAAAAGGAATACGAGAATTCCTTCCGGAAGAAAATCTTACAGCAGGAAGTACTTAACAATGCTTTGTGAAAACAAAGGCCATTTGGAGCGTGAAGGGGGGACCATCCAGGTTCTGGATCCCACAGGCCTGATTAGAAATTACTTTGGAAAGTAGTAGATGGTAAACATTTCAGGTAGTTAGCTGAAAGGTTAAGGAGGGATATCTTGGCCATCACAGGGCAGGGACGTGGCGGGAGATAAAGCACACCGCTGGTGGAGGAGTTAGGCCAGCCAAGAGGAGGTCCTGCCCACAGCTAGGGAGAGTCCCCCAACGCTGCGCAAGAAGCAGGGCTGGGAAAAGGACCAGGTAGCAGGTTTCCCACGGGGCAACGCGCAGGCATTCCAATCACTCAGATTGGGTGAGGCATGTTGGCCAGAAGGGTTATCCTCTCCTCCCCACAAACGGCCACCACAGCAGCAAGTTAGATGCAGGCTGGCACTGTGGCCTTAGGGGTGCAGAATTTTCAGGTAAAGGAGAGAGCAGAGATATTCTAAAGTCTGAATAACCATGCCTGGAGGAAAATTAAAATTCTACATCAAACCAGCTGAATGATGGTCCTCTGAAATGAGAAAAATCGAAGTCAGAATGAATGAGTCTCGTAAGCAACTCAGTGATTAGACCAGAATACTTGTGGGGAACAGGAGTCCTGATTTGGAGGAGGAGGAGGGTGGGAGGATTCACATTTATTGAGGGGAAAGTTAATAGTAAACACTATTGGTTATGGCTATTGTAGAACTTTACATGCCAATCCCTTGCCTTGCAATGAAGACAACCGTGAGCAGAGATGGGTTTTCTCCTAGTTTCTGATTTCTTATGGGACCGTGGGGCTGCGAATCAATGACCACTGTATGAAACCCCGGATAACTAGAGGTTAGGCTCATTATTCCAGAAGCCGGGCTTTGTTTTATGCACACTTTGGGAGAAGGGTGCTTCATAGTTTTATTCTTTCTATAATTGGTCTCTCACTTCTCCTTGGGGTCTGTAACAAAATGTGATGGTTCAGCGAGATTCTGGTAGCATATTCTGGTTAATCAAGGTTCTTGTTCAGACAGAAAATAAATGCACGATGCCCCATTGCTTTCCCACCCAATGTGTCTTACTGTAGGATCGTCCCACGGTGTCTTACTATGGGTTTTTGTCGGCCCCGGAACAACATTCTCAAAATCCCAGAGACGTGGTTTGGGTCACCCACCCTTTTAAATGATGTTCACAATGGCGGTGGGCTTTTTCTTAGCCATTTTTGGCCTGATGTTGACTTTCCGGCTGAACCCCAGGGGCTCCCCTTTCTTCGGTGGTCTGCACAGTTCTCTGGAGGCCTCGGTCTGTTCATGCATGGACTTAGCAGGCTGCATGCCGGGTCTGTCCTCCCTGGCTTTCCTCAGGCAGCTCCTTCCCTTTGGATGGAAGTGGGCCTTGAGATCAGAGTGGTTACACACACAATGCGCATGCCCTCGGCTTCTGCAGGTGGAGGGGGTGGGAGAGGATGGGGGGGCAGACAAAAAGAAGGCGTTCTTTAAAACAGTAACTCCTCACAGAACGGTAACTCCCAGCGACACAATCATTTCGGCCTGTTGCAGTGGCGGTAATGATGGTGGTAAAATAGATAATACACACTAGAATGCTTCTTCCAAAAACTTCCAACGACTTTCATAAAATGGGCTAATAATACTAAAGTCCCAAGGTGATCGTATGAGTCCTATTTTACTGTTCAAGGAGCCAAGGCCCAGAGATTTTCAAGGTCTACCAGGATAACCCTGCAGTTGAACTATGAATAATAATACAGTTGAATTATGGAGGAGATGGGGCTGGGACTCATGCCTGACCCTTGAAGTGACTACAAGTGGGCTCAAAACACATCTCAAGTATGATATTACTGACTGAGTTTATGGTTTAAGGTAGAAATATTCATATGTATGAATAGTTAGCATACTACAATAATAGTCCTACAGAGATAGGACTAGTCTGTAGAGTTCCTGGATGGTATATAAACAGTTTAATGCTTGACTATTATCTAAACTGTTGGTGGTTCAAACCCACCCAGCAGTTCCCCAGAAGTGAGGCCTGGGAATTGGCTTCCTTGCAAACATTCTGGAGGGCTCTACTCTGTACACATGGGCTTACCATGAACCAAAATTAACTCAACATTGCACTTAACAACAATAATAAGGAAACCTCAGTAAGAGAATTATACTAATAATACCATAAAAATATTCTGACGATATGACCAAAATGTCATCCATTTTGGCTTCAAAATGTTCATGGAGAATGGAAGATCATGGAATTTTTATACACATTTGTTGACACGTCGTTATACCTATGGAGTATTTTAACATTTAAAAGTTATGTCACGATTCTGCAAATTAAGTGCTCATGCAGGTAAATTTCCCCCTGAGTCTCTCACATACATTGAGATCATATATAATATGTGAAATGAAAATATAATATACTAGCATTCTCACATGGCTCAGTTTGGTACACATAGTAAAAAGGTATACATACAGACATTTGATTTTCTTATTTGAGGAGATATCCATACGCTGACGGAAAGCAAAGGAGAAGAAGGGGGAAAAAAAGAAAGAAAGAAATGCATTACATTACTTGCAGACTGGATTTGATTCCGTTTTGAACATTCTTTTTTTGTTTGGTTGACGTGTGAAAGAAATTGTAAAGAAGGCAGTGGCCAGTATCTACAGCATGCCGCTCGGTACTCCCCATCGCATCAGGCTCTAGGAGCCTTCTTGTGCCCAGGCTCTGCTTACTCAGGCCCTGAGAACACTTGCTCTGAATTTCTGAGAAGCCGACGTCAGCAGATCTCAAAAACTGCAGAAAGTCAAATAGCCTCCCCATAGAGCAACCTTCGAAGCAACATGTTTTTATAAACTGGAATGATGTGCCATTATTTCTTAATGGTCTTGGGCTGAATTTGCAGCTAATTTGCTACAGCTGTGGCTAGTCACAGTGTATCAACTAAGGGGAAAATTGGCATAAAATGTTTATTGCCCAAAATACATCATTTCTAAAATGATAGCATACGAAGACCAACTCCACAACTGTCCCCGAGGCCATCTATCACTGAGATTATTGTCCACCCCCAATAAATCATGCAATAAAAGATCTGTATGCATTTTTGTGGCTGGGCCCAGCACAACTTCATTTGCAGCATAAATGTCTAATTATCATTTTGTGATCCAGCTGCCGCCCTCTAGTTTACAGGGAAAGTCAAGAGACTCCCCAAGCTTCAGTTCCTGTCCGCCTACGTGTAGCTTTTTGCTAAAAAAAAGTGATGTTGGTACTTCACCTGAAAATAGAAGAGGTAGGTGACAAAGGAAATGTGACAAAGAGCCACCTGGATGTTGGGGCCCAGTTCGGCCAAAGACATGTATCCAAATAATCTGGGGGGGGGGAATTTTCTCAAATAATCTGGGGGGGCTGGGAGGGGGAGGTCGAAATGTCAAGTTTAGCTAAGAATTGGCTCACTGCCCCAGTTTTTGCCTGCAGCTTGAGTTTTAGTCAAGGAGTCAGAAAGAAGGGTTTTTTTTTTAACTTATTTAGGGGGTGCCCAAGAAGAGAAGACAAGATTATTGGCTTTTTATATAATCTAAAGTCAACATTATTTTTGACCCTGCTCAAACTGGCTGGGTTTGGCATGAGATTCCCAAACTGATAATAGAATAAAGTACCATTCTGGCATGAATATGCTGGCATTCTACAACCTGCAAAGAAGCTAGCTGCGGGCTTCTGGGGGACCAGCAGGCAGCATCATTTCCCTCATCATACCCTCCCCCTCCCCCAGAACAGGCTTCTTAGCCGGGCTTTCTGCCTGAGCCTTAAGTAGAAAGTGTACAAGGTGTACAGGGTTTTTACTTTTCTTGCTTTTAAAAAATTATTGAAGTATAACAAACGTGTTCACTTTATTGTAGTCACAGTATGCATGACCCCCTCCTGTCTTTCATTTGGTTATATTGTGGTGGCTTGTGTGTTGCTGTGATGCTACATCCGATGCTATGCCACTGACTTTTCAAATCACAGCAGGGTCACCCATGATGGACAGGCTTCAGTGGAGTTTTCAGCCTGAAACAGACTAGGAGGAAGGAACACTTCTGAAAACTTAGCCAGTGCAAACCTTATGAATAGCAGGGGAACACTGACACAATGCCAGAAAAGGAGGCCCTCTGGCTGGCAGGCGTTCAATAGACTGCAGCAAAGCTTCCTCCTCAAAGTGGGGTCAACCTTACTGATAGAGATGGAGCAAAGTTTTCCTGCATTTTCATTTGCTAATGTAGCACAACTTAAAGCAAGGAGAAACAACTGCAAATGTCCACTCCTAATCGGAATATGGACTGTATGAAGGACGAGTCTGGGAAAGTTGGAAGTCATCCAAAATGAAATGAAAGACATAAATAATAACCCAGGCATTTGTGAAAGGAGTTGTGGTGGCACAGTGATTATGTATTGGGTTGACAACTGCAAGGTCAGCGGTTCCAACCCACCAACCGCCCCACGGGAGAAAGACAGAGCTCACGACTCCCGTAATGAGGTACAGTCCCGGCAGCCCCTAGGGGCAGTCCCACTATGCCCTACAGGGTGGCTGTGGGTCAGCAGCGACTCGATGGCAGTGAGGTTTGTTATTGGTTTGTTTGAGGAGATTGGAATAGAGATGCTGGCCATTTTTTAATCAAACAATCGTATGGTTTACTATGCTGGGAATGATAAATTGAAGGGGAATGGAGCTGCATGTATCATCAAAGAGAACACATCAAAATCAACCCTGAAATATAACACTGAGAGTGACAGGCCTCTAAGGAAGATCAGTTAATGAGCCATTGTTCACATTTAGGCACCAACCACTAACGTCAAAGATGAGACCATTGAAGATTTTTACCAACTTCTGCAGTGTGAAATTGATCAAGCCTACAATAAAGATGCACGGATAATTATTAGTGATCGGAATGGGAAAGTTAGAGGCAAAGAAGGATAGGCAGTTGGAAAACCGGGGCTTGGTGATTGAAACAATACTGGAGATTGTGTGATAGAATTTTGCAGTACTAATGACTTATTCACCGAAAATACCTTTTTTTCAACAGCACAAGTGGCTACCATACATGTGAACCTCACTGGATGGGATTCACAGGAACCAAACTGACAACATCAGTGTAAAAAGATGATGGATAAGTTCAATATTATCAGTCAAAACAAGGCTATGGGCCAGCTGTGGAACAGACTATCAACTGCTTATATGAAAGTTCCAGTTGAACATGAAAAAATTAAAACATGTCAACAAGAACCAAAATACCACCTTGAGTCTCTTCTACCTGAATTTAGAGACCATCTCTAGAACAGCCTGGACACACTGAACACTAGTAACTGAAGACCTAGCAAATTGTGGGATGACATCAAATGCATTGTACAAGAAATGGAAAAGTCATGAAAAACATACAATAGAAAAAAAAATGGCTATGAAGAGAGACTCAGTCCATGCTCCTGAATGTGGAAGAGCTAATGTGGGCGAGGGGAGGGGGTATGAGGACATAAAACAGCTGCACAGAAGATTCTAAATGGTGGCTCGAGAAGACAAAGCATTGGACGCAATGATATAAAGACCTGGAGTTAGAAATCCAAAAGGATGAACACACTTGGTGTTTCTCAAACTGAAAGAAATGAATTTTTAAAAAAATCAAGATTCAAGCTGAAATAGATCCTAGGGGCAAAACATTGAATGATGAAGAAAGCATCCAAGATGATGAAAGAAATACACAGAGATACTGTACCAAAAAGAACTGGCTGACATGCCACCTTTTTAAGAGGTAGCATCTGACCAAGAATCGATGATCCTGAAGGAAGAGGTCCAAGTAGCACTGAAGGCATCAGCAAAAAAGAAGGCTCCAGGAACTGACAGAATATCATCTGAAATGTTTCACCCAATGGATAGAGTGCTGAAGATGTTCACTCATCATTGCCAAGTGGCTGGCCAAGTGACGGGCACAGATCCATATTTGTGCTCATTCCAAAGAAGGGTGATTCAACAGAATGCAGAAATTATAAATATTATTAATACCACATGCAAGAAAATTTTACTAAATATAATTTTTAAATAGCTGCAGCAGTACATTGATGGGGAGCTGACAGAAATTGAAACCAGATTCCCAAGAAGATATTGGAACTAGGGTTATCATCGATAATATCAAATGGCTCTTGGCTGAGAATACAGAGAGATTTTTACCTATGTCTCATTGACTGTGCAAACACATCCAACTGTGTGGATCATAACAAATTATGGATACTATTACAAAGAATGCGAATTTCGAAACACCAATTGTGCTCATGCAGAACCTATGCATAGACCAAAAGTTGGTCACTTGTGTTTGACTAGAATAAGACAATGCTGTACCGTGTAAAACCAAAAAAGGTGTGTGTGAGGGTTGTATCATTCTACCATAGTTACGTAATCTATTTACAAAACAAGTAACCCAAGAAATTGGACTATGTGAATAAAACTGTAGAATCAAGATAGAGGAAGACTAATTAACAACCAGTTATATGCAAATGATGCAACCACTTCAAAGCCTCCACAGATCTGCCTCCTCCTTGTCCCTCAAGCCCCAATTCAAACCTCCCTCCTCAGCACGGCTTTTCCCGCTAGAGGCCCAAAGGGTCAGAATCAACTCAACAACTCAACTTTAATCCTAAAGTAGCACCCACCCAACCCTAAGCATCTCAAACATAGCTTTTCTTTTTTTCTTTTTCTGTTTCGTAGTTATCACTATTTGAAGTTACCTTTTTATTGACGTATTGGGTCCCATTCTTCACTGGAGACTAAGGTGCACGAGAAAAGAGACCTTGTCTCTCTTGTTCACAGATGTTTCCTCAGAACTGAATAAGCTCTATGCCCTTAATAAATCTGTGTTAAATGAATTACTGGTAGTCCTAATATAGCAACCTGCAGGAAATAAATGCAACGCTTAAAATAAGATTATCCAAGCTGTTTCATGACCTTCCAGTTGAGCAGTTCTGGGAGTGATTTTGGCAGATGGGATATTAATTCACTTTGTGCCTAATTCAACAGCATTTTTCGGGGCATAGAGAGAAAATATCTGAGTAAGCACATTACATTTTTAGAAACCAGCCAGGTGAAAAAGCGCGTAAGTGCTCAAGGGAATTAAGGGAAGGATAAAGAAGCTGAAACACTGTTTCAGAAAAGGCACCGCGCATGAGGGGAAGGTGGTTTTTGTTTGTTCCTTTGTTTCTGGAGCACAGAACATCTTAAAGCCAGAAGGTAACTTAGAAAGAAGCAACTTACATGTCAATTTAGAAAATTCACTGGAGGTAGTGATGAGAGAAAGAGGGCAGAAAGGAGTGAACTGAGAGTAAATGAAAGACGCAATATGAAGATGACACTGATTTCGCAATTTAGCCTCTGTCGTCTGGTGGAGTGGGCAAGTGGGACCTGGGTCAGGATGCGCTGGTCCACCCAGAATGCACTGGGCCAGGAAGCTATTCTGGGCAGGGGTTCAGGATCCAGGAGCTTGAGTCTGAGTTCCCTAACCCACTCACTAAGCTGGCCAAATGGGTTACATTTTATCGTATCCCAACCCTCTGGTGTTATTACATATCTCTACAGTCGCAAATATCCTGGGAGGCCAGGCTTAGGAAATATTTCCATCACAGCAAAACCATATACCTACTTTTATTGGAAAATGCTTATTATTATTATGCAACAGTTCAGGTAAGAAAGAAAAATGGTCTCAGGGTCTGCAGACTGGTATATTCATCCCACTCCTGTGATCTATTCTGGTACAAAGTAGAGCGTAGAGAACTACACAGGAATACAATTAATACGCCATATGGATAAAACCGCTTTGAATAGTTATGGAAATCTCACTGATATTGCAATTGACTCTCTGATTTTTTTTTTTTTTTGGTCCCTGACTAGAAAATTCTGGGGTTACTATATTGCTCTAAGGTTGACTGTCCATCATTATAGTAAGAATCATGTGCAACTTCTTCATTTATTTCCCTTCTGCCCCTCCTTTCTATTGTACCCCGCCCCACCTTTCTTCACACTCTTTCTCCCATCCTTCTTCTTTCATCTACTCTCAGTCCATTTCTTTTCAATAATTCATTTTGTTATTTAATCAAGTCCTTTTCAGTTTGGCTTGCAGAAAGCAACACTACACTTTGACATCAGCCAATAGCAGTTCTGCTGGCACAAACATTTCCTTGAGATGAATGTTTAAAAAGTAGTACCGTCCATTTTAGGTGGGGTAAGAAAGAATCGAAACTCTTTGGGGAAGGAGGTAAGCATAAGTACAGAGCACTAAATAATGAAAATATCATAAGCAAATGACTTTGAGGCTTCAAAAAATCTTATATTGGCTCTGTTGTTTATTATGCCAAAGGGACGGTGCAGATAGCAATTTACCCATCGCTCTCACCTAACACACGGTTACATGTATTCATTCTTCCCAAGGATGGGTTCATAAATATCTGTAAGGGATGCCTGGAGGCCTTTATTACTTGCTGTCACTCTCCTTCTTGGATTGCAAGGTTCATGAAAGCCTCGACTCATCTACCTTGTTCACAGTGACTCCCTCAGCACGCAGTGAGAATTATGCCCCCAATGGACATGTGCGACAGAGATCACTAGTCATCTTGAATCTTCAGGAAGTCATTTATGGGAGTTTGCAGCTTCATCCCTACCCAGAGTTCTTATCTAGGTTCTGGAGGATTCTCAAGCCTCTGAAACCATTCAAAAGTCTCTTCTAAAACTACCATTTTATCTAAACATTAAGAATGTTTAACCTATAGAAACTGCTTTTACTTCCCCATTAAGGAAGGAAAAACAAAATAAAGGAAAGTATATTTCATTGGGTCAGACTTTACTGAGGACAAAGCTTTCTTAAGAGCAAACCCAAAGCAAGAATATGCAGCTTTGTCTGAGGCTTTCTTAAGATTGTCTTGAAGTGCTTCATGTCCCCCAAACAAAATAACAACAACAAAACTCTAACAACTCCTAATATACTTAAACACCAAGAGTAGGAGAGGTCATTTCTTTGGATACTTGAAATTTTATTAGCCCATACACATAAAAGTATGTCTACCAATTGAGCAAGGCCCAAAGTAGGAAAACTAACAAAGACCTGGAGAAGGTGAATCAAGAATGCTACATACTTCCAGGTGCCTAGAGTACACCTTACCACTTCTACAAGGTAAGCATGGCCCCAAACGTGCTTTAATGTCTACAGATTCACCACCCAGTTTCCTTGGCAGTTCTTGGGTCAGTCTCACCGGATACAGGGACACACCCTCGACGATCGAACGGATGTGACTCACCACGTGCTCAGTGATGTCACGGCAGAGGCCGGCGGCCTGCTGGCTCTGATAATACTCTAACTGCTTTTCTGCCAGTTCTACCCTTTGCAGCAGATTCTCGATAAAGTCCTGGAGTCGAGCTTTCCCTTGGACCTCCTTCTCGGCTGCTGCTTCCAGGAAATGATTGAATGTAACCACTTCTCTGCAAGGCAAAAGTATCAGAACACAAAGAGAGAAATGAGGCAGTCATTCACTCAGGCAACATATACGTGTTGAGTACCAAGTATCCAGTGGGTACTCTTCTATGCACTGTGACCACCTCTTCTATGCACTGTGACCACCGGGGACAAAAGAGATCCATTTAAGTGATTGCATGTAGAGAAGGCATCTTAGTTAATCTCTCGTGGTTGTAGAGGCGTCAATGGACAGTGCAAACATGCTTGGTGGCTAATCAAAGAGTTGGCGGTCTGAGTCCACTCAGAGCCACCTGTGCTAAAAGGTCTGGTGATCTACTGCTGATAAATCAGCCTGTGGAGCGCAGCTCTACTGATACCCCAGGAGCCAGAACTGACCCGATGGAAATTGGGTTGGTTAGGTGTTTCCATAATTGTAGACGTAGCCCACCCACTGCCTCCAGATAGAGACAGTCACTATAAAATATACAAATAAAGAGGTGTCCACTGGTGATAAATGCTAAGAAGAAAAAAACGAGCTCAATGCAAGGACCGTGACAAAGGACGAGAAGTCGGTCACAGTTTAGAAAGGTCATGAGCTTCCTTTTGCAAATAGCCACGCTTGAGCAGAAATGTGCAGGAAGCAGCGGATCTTGCAGGCCTCTGGGGGAAGAGCAAGCAACCCCAGAGCCAGAATGTGCAGCTTTGCCTGAGGCTTAGCAAGGAGTCGGAGCAATGGCCGAAGGGGAGCCTGAGAGCCTCTGAGGTCACTGCCAGGGTTCCAGATGGCATTTAAAATGAGATGGTAAGCCCCTGGCCGTTGATTCGAGTTCTGTCATGTATTTGAAATGTCCGGCTCTTGGGGGAGAAGCAATTATCGAGAAGCAACATAGAGCAGCAAGATACTATGCTAATCTCCACACTGTAGAAAGTGAGCCACTATTACATTTTTATTTAAGTATGAGGAACCCGAGGAATGCCTGCCTGAGGCAGGCCCAAGGCCCATAGGGAAAGTTTATTCTACTTCTGACAGAGAGCAGAAACGGGCAAATGTCTCCCTTCTAGAAAGTTGAGTAAAATACTTCACTCTCTTTTTCTATAAAATTCTATGTGGATTCACAAATCCAGAAAATTTCTAGTGATTTTCTTACCATTTTATATTTTCATTTTTAAAGTATGAGAATAATTTTTTCTGATTCATAAGCAGTATGTTATTTTTAAAGAATTCAAGTAACATGAAATATGAACAAGGCTGGAAATACACATCACCTGAAGCTACTATCCTGAGACCATCACCATGAACATTTTGGTAGCCATCTTCACAATCGTCTCTTTATGAGCAAACCACACACACAAACACAGTCCTCTCCCTCCCTCCCAACTTGCCTCCTTCCCCGCCCTCATTCTCAAGCCTGCTCCCACCTTATCAGTACAGTACTCCCAGGAGGTGTCTGCTTTCACGGCTCTCTTAATTCTGCTTTCTAAATTAGTAAGAGATCACAGAGATCCTTTAGCCGCCCTTGTATATGTTCTGCCACCCCCTTGGGAGTTAACAAATTCTGTAATTTCCCCGCCCCTTGAAGATTAACATCTCTGTTCTGTGTCTTCAAAACCTCTCTGAACCTTCATTTTTCTGACCATGTTTAACATGCAAAAACTAAAATTCTAAACACTTGCTCATTCCCCCATTTGTCTTTTTTGTTCAGATTAACAAATGGTCGTTTTTAAATCTACTCTGATGCTGTTCTTCTACTCTCTGGAGGGTCAGTCAAACACGTTGCCTTCTCTAGTCCTTCTTTGTCTGATTTCCAGTTTCTAAGTGCATAAGTTTATTTTTTTAAAAACATAGTCAAACATGTCTCTGTGATCAGTAGACGGATGGAGACAAGTTCTTTCAGTCATGCAATTGTCTTAGTTTCACAAGGGAGCTTTCCAAAAAAATAATACTAAAAAAAAGGAAAAAACCATTGTGCAAACATCAGTGAGCCCAAGCTGATCTTTCCACTAGCTTTTCTTTCTTTTTTAAAAAAATTTTATGGAAAGGTAAAACAAAATATATTTGTTTTCCAATAGTTTTATTCGTACCTAATTTACATATAATAGTGCAATCAATCAATTATATAAAAGAGCATTGTGGATAAATCGCCTTTAACATGGGTTGTGCAATCACAATCACTTCTAGTGCTCCCCCACTCACTACCACCTCCATTATTTACTCCCAGAATCCCCTTTCCCTCCCTACAATTGCCCCCCGTCCCCCACACACACACACACACACACACACACACACACACACACACCTGCATTCCCGATAAACCCTTGTGTCAGTTATTCTCATTATGCATCCACTCCTCCTGTGCTGTGAAACTCAACAGAAAACAATAAAATACAAAATCATACTAAGGTGGTAAGGCTAAAATCATAAACTGTAAAGACAAAAATACAAATAATGTACAAGAAGGAAGAGACCCCCATCACCATTTAAAAGGGCAGGGAGGAAATGTGTGTCATGGAACCAGTGAGAGATACTTGCCCCCAGTACAAATTTAGCTCGTGTCTATAGGAGGGGGTGGGGGGAGGTTAATGGCCCAAGTATCAAGTTCGATCCAGCATGATCAAGAGTAAAATGGTCTCTGCCTGACAGTAAGGCTGTTTGAGAGTCTTGCCTTTGGCTAGAATGTGTGGACCCTCAGCTCAGTCTGACTAGATAATCTGCAGCCAGGAACTCTACTGAATGAACTGGTCTCTACCTCAGACACACGTGTGTCCTGAGGACTGAAGCCAAAACACACGTGGTGTCCTGAGGAAGCAGAAGATAGCGGTACCAAGAGCAGTGTACTGTTGGTTGGGAGACAAACAAGATCTGGCTATATCAACACCTGGTATGCTGTATTAAGCTACACATTATTCTAGCAATCCTGTGACGGCCATCCTGTTACATTATGCTTATGCATGTTTACTATTAAGGTGTATCTCAGAGGGGTGCCACCATGGGGGTCCCTCGCTTGAAGCTGTTCCTGATTTGTTTTTCAGCAAATGAAACCCGGTGAAGTTGAGCCTATAGGAGAGGAGAAAATATAACAAGGGTTTGGGGGAAATAAGAAAGAGATGATGTCAAGAAGTCCATGAAGGAAAAATATGTTTAGAGACTGATTATGGAAACAATCGTACAATCATGTTTGGCAGGATTGAACTGTGGATTGATATGACATATGTATTAACTCCCAAGGTACAGCAAATAAAAAAATAAAAAAGCATATATCCAGGCATGGGTTTATCGTGGCCATGCTCAACACAAACCTTCATGAAAATATCACTGAAGATAAGGATGCTATAGCAAAGTGTGGGGAAGATAGTAGATGGTGCCTGGCTATGAATCCGAATAGTGCTTGTGGTCTTAAAAGCTTGTATTCAAACAAGCAGCCATCTTAGCGAGAAGTCCACTAAGTACACACAGAAGAAGCACAACAGCTTGTGTGATACAACGATGACAATCATAATATTCGAGTATGGTGAAGAGAAAAGTACCAGAGCTAAAGTTATCAACACCCACTTTGTAGAAGGCTATGGAGGGCAGTGGGAGCCCAAAACCCATGTGGCATAATATCTATTCCTTCTTAATTGCCACTTGATTTTTATTCTCCATTTCGTCCCCGATTTATAAAACTTTAAGCAAAAACATCTGAAGGGGCAAGACCAGGGCTGGAGAGTAGACCAGGTAAGGTTTCCCAACAAAATTCCCCTAGGACTATGCTTGCCACCCTTGAAGAATGAGCAGGTACATTGTCCTAACGGAAACCAATTCTTGGTGTAACTTTCCTGGCCTTTTCTTCACCAAGGCAGTTTGCAGTTTTCAGCATCTTCAGCATTAGTCTCCATGATCATCCTGGGTCCTACAAGAAATGCTACCAACCCCTTTGGTGTGCCATAAACCAGTTGTTATGACGGTCGGAGCCCAACTCTCTTGCCTCGAGTTTAAATGGGCCGGCAGATCCCCTTGGAAGTCACTGTGTTGGTGAGACCTTTCTTTGAGGAGACTAAGGCACGTGTGTACCTGAGAGAATTGGTTCTATCCAGCCACTGATGGCAGAGACATGTTCAAATATGGCTTGTCCGGAATAAACCCATGAATCTTAAAACTGGAACCCTAATAGCAATAGTTTTTGCTTATGTTCAACATCAATAAATGTCTTGTAATTAATCTTCAAAAAGGTTAAGGAAGGGAACAAAATCGGCCCCTAATCCCACCACGCAGAGATACCTACTATCACTTCGGTGACGATTTTCCAGTCTTTTACCCATGCATACTTACTATTCCTGGGTTATTTGGGATACACGATGTAGCAAATAAGACACACACACCTGACAGCTTTCTCTCACAGGATTACCACCACCGAAACAAGAACAAATCTGAATACAATACAGTTTATGACTGACTATGTTTCAACATCATGCGATGTTTTGCTACTGTTATGACATAAAACTTTAAAATTTTTAATATTGATTCTCCGAGCTGCTTGTGAAGTGCTACGTCATAGAAGAGAAAGCTCTTTTTCTCGTCTAGTTCATGCAATTGTCTTGTGCCTGGAAGCTGAACACTAATACCCTTTGTATTCTTCAACCAACCTGGCACCAATGCTAACCTAATTTTAGTTCGGGCATATTTCACATCAGCTAACAAAAAAGAGAGAGAGAGACAACAGTTAAAACAGTTCTGGTGGCTTTGTGTGACCCTGTTTTAAAGGAGATGATATACAAATGCTGAAAAAGCTCCATATTCCCATAGGCTATTCTTATAAAATGAAAACAATCTTAATTGTGAATTAAGAGGTGTGCGACTTCGGATTCCTCTTTTACTTCCTACTCAATCAGGATGATCGGTATCTTATTTCTTCCCAAAGAAATTCAGAAATTATCTAAATGAAAAGGAAAGATGTTTAACCACACGGCATTTGTAGCCCATCTTTAATAATTAAACTCCCTAAACAGCAAAATATCTATTTAGAGCCCAAGATTGACTACTTGATTT